ACCAGAATATTCTACAAAAGCGGGCCCAAAACAAGCATTGAATGTGTAGAATCTAGTTAATAAAGACACGCCGGAAAAAGCCATTGTACGGCGAAACACGTTTTTGTAAAACTGAAGTCTCACAATGAAGTGGTTTTTGAATACGTAACTTATGTATCGGCAAATTCCATTAAATATGATATGGTGTATCTTGTATGCAAATAAGCCACAAAGCACAGCGGTCCTCAAAGCCAATATAACCCATGCTCTCATTCAGATACAGCCCGATTTATGCGCTAAAGTCATGAATAATTGGACGTTTCGGATACCCTTCACCCAGAGAAGCCGTAGCGGACATTTTAACAATACAAGCACTACAGGAAAATCCTTGACGCGCTCTGAGAGCGGTGCCTGTGTTACTTCAAAACACCATTGACGAAGTAAACATAGATACATATTTAATTTTTTTAAATTTTGAATTCCACATACCTTCAAAGTAACGAAAGTGACTAATATAAAATATGAGATGATGATCAAGTAGACTTCATTCATGGCGGGCCTCGAAACAATACTCAGCAAAACTGAAAGGAAAAAACATATAAATTGAGTGGGAACAAAAGTAAAAACATCAGATGAGCATTCAGAAATCTTAGTTATTTGAAAAGACGATATTAACGTTTTCTATTGTGTGATATTCACTAGATAGTTTTACAAAAACGTAACACGTGTTTCGCGTGTCTTAACGGAAGCCATTGTATGGCGAAACACGTGTTGCGTTTTTGTAAAATTGTCTTGTGAAAATCACACAATAAAGTGTTTTAGGAATACGTTAGTTATGGATTTTCATCAAGTATCGGCCGATTCCATCATATATCTTAAGACGATGTTACTTTTTACTAGTCATTATTTTAATAAATGGATAAAGATTTAGGTTCCACTTCAGATCGTCAATATTTTCTAATATAAAGGCAATAACGTCATTATCTTCTACTTAAAGAGAAACCCTAAAAGTTTTGGATCATATAGAAGTTACTCAAGAATATCATGTATGGTGAAAAACAAATATTTGTAACCAATGAATCAATTGAGAGAAAAAATTCGAGAAGATTTTAATTTTCTTGAATCATATCTTCTTACTATTATTCTTAGTTTTAACATTTTGTCTCATATAAAAAAACCGATCCTTGAAATATATCCAGAGGTTTTCCAGTTCTTACTTCTAGAAAACAGGCATTTTTATTTATTCATAGTATATTTTTCACTCACATCATTACTAATATATTTTTTTCACAGCATGAGACATTTTCATTTGTGCTTCCCAAATCCGCTAAAAGATAATCTGCTTACCTCCGTATATGGCAATGCAGCAACCGGAAGTACACATGAGGATCAGCAACTTGTCGTAATCCACGCCCTCTTCAGGCCTTCTAGGCATTACAAAGTCTGTCAACGCGATCACGAGAAATGTGATGCATATCGCTAGCAGAAGCGATATCAGGTTGGTCATGTTGCTTTGGTTCATTTTGAGGAAGTACCTTTGGTAGAGCATCTCCACCTGTAACAACAGAATCGCGTTTTAGATAAGTGAGATGCTTCAACTATTGCATAGCATTTTGAATTTTGCAAACCCCTACCGAATGTAACGACTCTCACATAAAAATAAAAAAGCTGTCTCCCAACATGCTTTTCTCTAACCAAGTTAGCTTCATCAGAAAAACATAAAAAGTTTCATTGAAAGTGATACAAATTATGAAACAGCAACAACAAAAATGAATTGGCGCTCCAGAGCGACAGGAAAACCCGGAAAAACATGCAGCACCACATCATCTCAAGATTTCGATCTGCCAATGTCCTCTCTTCCATAGAATAAAATGTAGTGTTTCTCCACAGACTCCAATAAATTCAAGATATCGACTATCGACAGACTTAAACCAGTCTGTTTCATCTTCAACCAATGCGTAATAATGATCAGATTCAACCATGTGAACCATGACAACATGTAGATTATAATAAAGGTCTGCTATATTGAAGTGTTCATCTATTTCGAACCTTCGTTAGAGTTTGGTGCTTCCGTCAGAGGTTGAGTCATGTTTGAAGAGCATAAGCATATAAAAGTCAGTTAGTTTGGCGCATATTTGGCAATGCAGTTGATCATCACCTTTCAAAAGTTCTATTTTCAGATGGTTTAACGATGAGCTTTGCACGGATTGGTTGTCAGTCATGTTAGGAAACGCTAGTTGAAGTTTCAGAAAGTTACATACGTTTTTGCAACCTCTTTAACGTGTACTACAAAGTGAACTAGTGGGGATTTTTTCAGCAAAAGATCTAGGTAGGTAGGTCTATTCGACTATATACCGCAACCCGCAAGGGTTTATTGTGGCTCACACCTATTCACACTCGGCCAAATAAACCCAGATTCTTAACGAAGCCGATTAGTTTGTATAGTGAGTGGTCTATCAGGTCAGATGGTGAGAGTACGGATCTGCCGAACTCAAAGAATCTGATTCGGTCCCCAGCGGGGCAGGCACAAAGTATATGCTCTGCTGTTTCATCATTTTCCAGACAGAAGCGACACACAAAGTCTTGCGACAGTCCAAGTCTCTGCATGTGATGATTCAAATGACAGTGACCTGTTAGACATCGTAGTTCATCCCTACTGTAGACCAACAACTGTTTGGAATCAAGCTTCGAAGGGTTTGTATATAAACGACTTGGCTAACTCCAAGGCGCTTATATACAAACACACTACGAGATAGACTGTATGGTATCATTCAATCCAGATCGGTCAGGAGTATGGGTTCTGCTATTTTCCTGCTGACGAAGAGTATTCAACAAGAACCCCAAGAATTAGAAACAATCTTCTTGTTGTTCTAATAGGACCTAATGTTATGGTCCTATTAGGACAACATTTGAACTTCAAAGACTGTAGGTAATCGGTTGGTGGGAAAGATGATACATTCTTACGAAACTGCAGCTGCATGAACAGGTGTTTGAGTTCGGTGAATAAGAATATATTAATTATTAATGAAATTCACGAAAAAGTTCTGTTTTTGAGTTTTTTCTGGATATAATAAGATTTGTCAAATTTTAAATGCAACTTATGAAGTCTCAACCAGAAAGATGTTAGTCATTAGTTTTCTGAAACAGATGTTTCAGTGATATCGAGGATTGTAATAGTGGATGAACAGGGTTTTTGTTGTCTATTCCCTAGTAAACGTTGTTACGTTAGTGAGTGGTTGATAACCACGGCGTCGGGGTATTTAGTGCAGCGTTAAAGAAAAAAATGGCTGTCAACGTTCAAGAAAAAAACATGGCTACTATCGTAGCATCGTGTGCATCGTTAAAGAAAAAAGACATGGCTGCTAACGTAAAATAAAAAAACATGGCTGCCAACGTGAAAGAAAAAACAGGGCTGCCATGAAGGTATACAGGGTGTGACAAAATACATCATTCAAGAAAAAACGCGACAGTTCAACGAGGATCTAACATTGAACTTTTTGGACATGTTTTGAAAATATTTTGGTTCCGTTCTGGAATGAGGGCAGTGCATGATCTCATCAAAATTATGTAAAGGAAAACTAAAACTAAATTTAATTATCACCCATAATGAGGGCCATTACATTAAATCCTAGTATGACTTATTGTGTTGATATGTCATTGTTCCTAATGTTGATTACTGTCTGTTTCAATGTCCAATATTCAGTTATTTTCTACCATAATTGTTACGTAGGAGAGTGAAAAATAGGTTGTTTGCAGTATGACCCTTATCTCCGTTGAGAGACCTCATTCCACATTTTTTATTCCAAAACTTTCTAAAAACCTGTTGTTGTGTACCTGTCTCAACAATTTCAAGCATGGCCGCTCTTTAAGCCATGTTGAGCGATACTGGGCTTATCTGGTCTATAAAAACGAACATTCGAAACAAGTTCTGATGGCTTTCCAGAGCTTTCTCATAGTCAAATGTTCATGCAATATAAAGCCAACACTTTTTTTTAATTTTTTTACGGACAAAACACAAGCACTACCAGAAAATCCTTAAGGTGCTTTTGCGCCTTGAAGATTTTCCTATATAGTCGATGAATTGTATCTGTTTGGATATTATGTATTTTCAGAAGGAGAATCAGGACAGATATTTCTTCAAGAACGATTATTCCTTACCAAAAACTTGTCAAAGTGGTATTCAATGAAACTGAAGATATAAGACATCAATCGAAAAATGAAACGACATTTTCGAATGAACTTTCGAATAAAATTTCTCCCGTGAACGCCTTCGTCACGAATAAACCACATTAACACTTCCCCAGAGCCTGATACTTACCATCGATCATGTTCCAGAAGTCTGTAAACCGCATGAACCGGTAACGGCTTCCGTTCTGTCGACCGGAACGGAAAGAGTGGCATTCAATTAAAAGTTTTCCGTTAGCTCTCTAACAATTCTGTTTCATTGCTAAATCCGTTCGAAGCGACCTCTTCCTGTCGCTGAATATCCACAGAGTGTGAGAGTGTTATTGAGCTTGTGGATTGTGTGTCGAATTTGTTACACTTGCAAAGCGGTCGATATTGACTCCGTGAAGTGAAACGAATGTGTTGATTGCAGATCGACAATGAGTAGTGGATATTCGAAGATGATACTTTGCCTCAACAATGGTTTCATGTAAGGGACAAATGTTCTCATCATGAGAAAATGATTCATCCGGCTCGAAGGACCTGACTTTTGAACTATTCTGCTGGAGTAGATAGGTCCCAAGTGAGTGAGCCATCTTTCACTACAACCGTTGAAAGTTTATTGTGGCTCATACCAGTTCAAACAAAATAAAATGAGTTCAGATACAAAACGAGGTTGAATAGCTCATTTAGTGAGTGACCTTTCACAGTGGGGCAACTAGTAACTATGTCCTCTGCTCCTTCATCATCTTACAAACAGAGACGACACATACTGTATTCCCACAGTTTGAGCCTTCTCATATGATGATTCAGACGAAAGTGACGTGTCAGACAACGTAGGTCATTCCTGATGTAATCCCACAATTGTTTGGTGAGAACTCATATGACTGTTGGTATAAATGTTTCGAAATGAACTAATCTCGAAAGATTTTGCCAGTATTCAGTGTTTGCTTGACATATCCCAAAATAATGCCAATGAGAGATTCTGGTTCAATGCAGCCGCTTGTAACGTCCTTCTCTACAAGAGAGTCAGCAGCTTTCATCTCTTCCAGACCAGTATTTCCAGAAATTTGGACCAGAGATAATTTGTTGACTATTCATATTTATGAGAATTTTTTGTGGCACTTTACTACCAGCTTGGACTTTCTGTCAAAGTATCTATGAAAGAGAGACAAATGTCCAACCTTTCTTGGATGTTCCAGACTATCAACGTTGCAAGTAATATTCGTGTCTCCAATCAGGCATGTGGCTCTTTTCTGGATGGAATCCACCAGCTTCAGGGTATGCTCAGGAGCGGAGCTCCTTATATTTGAACAATATTCCAAAGAAAGTCTGATCTGAGCTTCATGAAGCATCAAAAGTTACTAGGGTGTGTACAGTTTTCTGGTTTAGAACAGTGCCAGTGTTCCAAGCTTCTGAGAAGCAGCCTTTGCAATTCCAGCGACATGATTGTGCCAAGACATATTGGTGTCCATTTTAACCCCCAACAAACGTATTGAAGCAGAAAGCGGAATTGTCTGTCCTAACATCATTATATCCGGGTCGGAGGCATTTATCTTTTTGGAGAAAATTGATGCCTGGGTTTTTGTGACATTGAATTGAACCATGTTACTTTCACCCCAATTTGAAATCACTTCTAGGTCCTCATTAAGAAGTGCTGAAATGTTGAATGTAATTGGATTTTTATTTCTCAGTCAGAAAATTCGCTTCAATGCTCATTTCAACGAAATCAAGTAGTAGCTCATTTGAATTCATAATTTGAAATTCATTTGAGGTAATTAGTAGAAAATATTCAGAAATAATTCACTTCAAAGAGAAAAAATTGAGGGATACGATTCATTGGAAATTAAATTGCAGCCAGAACCGAATTCGTCAGGAAAATTGAGATATAAACTTTAAATGCAATAGAATCTGCTAATGTACTTGAAACATATTTGGAAATGGAATGCTGTTCAGTTTGGAAGTAATTTCCATAGAATAGTGTAATGAAAGAATGAGTATTAGAGAGAAATGATAAGTACGCTTTTGTCTGCCTTATCCATCCGAAATATAACAGCTACAAAATGACTAATTACCGTAACCCTCTCCTCACTTCCACCGCCTTTTTGAACGAAGCTCTCTTTGTCATCGATTGTGTCTCACCTTGTATGCATCACATTCACAACCGAACCTAATATAATTGCAGTCTTCGAAACGCAGATATTTTATACAAATGGCTTTGTGATATGTTACCAAAATGAAAATGTATTATGAATTTCTATTCGAAATGTTTTATTTCTTCTTTTTTTTACCTAACCTCATCACCTGTTGATGGTGGAAACGTTTTGAAATCCCTCCTTACCCCATAATGCCGCGTGTTTTTTTTTTGGCCCATCCCCCCATTTTCCACTTAACATTTGACAAATGACATATATTCAAACACGAAAACGAATAAACGCATGTAACGTGTTGCTGAATCCTCTGCTTCCCCCAATGTCCTATTTTCGAACCACACATTTGAAGATAAATAAGTTTTTCATTGGGATCGCAGGTTGAAACGCTACACTCCCGTTAAACTGCCATGTATTTTTAAATGATATATTTTTTGAAGCGCCTCATACACATTGTCATGTTTTTTTAAGCCAATTTTCCATACATTATTATTATTATAGCACTTTTTTCATAATTCAACCACGCTGTTATCTTCAAATTGAATCTCTCCGATATTGAACTTTGTACTATTCAGTGAACATCCGCTATAGAACTGAATCAGATATCATTCGCAGGATTGCTACACAATATGAAAGAGGAAAAATCACACTTACACAGAACTTACACATTTGTTTGTATGAAGATGGAGAAGAAGAAAGCAAAAACCTACCTTTCTCATGAATTGATATCTCTTAAAAATAAACCAATTATTTGAATCTGATTGAAATTGAATTTTGAAAACTTTATACAGCTGATTATATTACTAATAAAGGTGAAGACTATTGCTATTTTACACAATTAGAAAAATATACCTGTTTCACAAAATCTATTAATGACTTTTTCCATGATGAGAGTAAAGTCATATTGCAATCGTTTGACAACTTTTACTGAAATCATACCAAAAACGGGAATTTCATAGAATTCGAATTATTGTTGACTTCTTCATTTTTCTCTCCTGTGGCAGGTTTCAAAAACATGGAGGATAATTTTCTTTTTCTTGAAAAAACCTCTACCAATTTGAGAAAACTGAGAAAGGAGTAGTTCTGCAATGCTAGTTGAATTCAAAGTAAGTGTTTCGCACATTTCACACGGATCTATCGATTCTGATTGATGGGTTATACTGCTGTCATAGATTTCTTTTTGAGTGGCTCATCATAGATTACAGAGTTGGAAGTAGTTCAAATTGATTCAGAAGTAGCATTATAAAATTGATTCTTATGGAAATATGCTTTGACCTTTTTTATGGTCTTTTGAGAATTTTTGTCACTTGCATCATATTTCAAACAATAACCCTGAAAAGATTCTCTGTTTATTTATATTCAGTGGTTAATTTTATTTTAACTTGTGGGACAATTATTTTGACTACCTTTCTAGGTTAGAGATGACGTATCTGATATATCAGTTTGAGGCTGACATATGCTCGTTGTAAGAAGATAGACTTGTATTCAATAATTTGCTTGAAGTGTTCAATTTGTTACACAAACTTCAATATTCGGGCGAATTGAAGTATTTTATCACTCCAACTGTTGAACAAATACATCACAAAGTTTCCTGACTCACCTGTTCATTCCTGAATTGATGAGTACTGCATAATTTCTTGGTGAGTCTCCTGAATTTGGGGAACACTCCATTTGGCTGCCTGGCCTGGTCCGATACCAATAAATCTGCTTCGACCCCGTGACCTTCAATATCTGGGCTGGAATTTGGAGCGGAACCGTTTTCTCCCCTCGTAGGTGGCGTTCTTGGAATGGTGCCAACCTGAAAAAAAAGCCACCTTGTTATATGCGATTTCCTGCAAGCTATAAATTATTGTGTGAATGGGAGAATTTTGAATACAGCATGGATGAAATGGTGCCAAAACTATATATTATCTGGGAAAGTACACATCCAGAGCGAAAACCAGAATATTCTTTTCACATTAGTTTGAAAGAGGTGAAAATATGGTGGTTTACTTCTTTCTATCATACAATTCCAATAAATAATCGAAGATGAGCTATTTTAACTCGTGAATTGAGCTTTTCATAAAGAAAAATTAGAGAACAAATAGTCCACACGTCTAACTGCTGCCTACTTCATGTAGCCTGTATAGAATAGAGTAATTATTCATTGAACCCAGGTTTCTATAGTTGACTTTTCTTGTCAAAACTATCATTTACTGACCTATACTAAAACCAATAATGATTGAGAGTAGAAGTAAGCCCAGTTGACAGCAAATCGGGGGCGTGCTTATTAATTTTTGAGAGGGTTAAGAATGAAAGAAAAATTCTTAGTACAATTA